TTGAGGAACTGATTCAAGCCTATCTCTGAAACTCTGAACTGGAAACTGTCAGACCAACTGGAGGATGGGGGGCCAGGAATATGCAAAGATCAGCTGTGGGGAGAAGGATTACGTCTTCTGAAGGATGCAGAGAGGAAGGAGGCACAAGGAGAGGGGCATCTGTCAGCTTGCCATCTTAAACAAGCCACTTGGCTGGGCCTCTGTGACAAATAACATCTCGATTGCTGAAAGCATTGTCGCTTTTAACCTTTTCTCAGTGTGGTTTCCAATTAGCTTCCTGTCAAAGCCGATTAACTCAAATGTAACACAGAATCTGGCACTGAGAGTCAGAAGAAATATAGAAGCTATGTGCCCCCCCCAACACATTTTAAGAAAAAATAATATTATCAGTAAGACTGCTCATAATACATTATTTGAGAAAGATACCTCTATGGGAAAACCTTGGGAAAGCTGCTCATTTGGAATACAGCTCCCAGAATCCCCCAGCCAGCAAGACCAATTGGGCTGAGAAATTTTGGGAGGTATAGCCCATCAAATAATTACTTTCCCACATTCTGCCAAAGGTATTGTGAAGTAGGCAAGATATATTGTGGAACATCATGACACACACATCACAGACCTGGAACAGCTACTAAGGAGGATGAAGGAAGAAAGTGCAAAGGCAGGCTTGCTGTTGAACATAAAGAAAAAAAAAAAAAGATGACCATGGAAGATCTGCATAAATTCAACCTAGACAATGAGGAAGGAGAAATAGTAAAAAAGTTCCCATACCTTGGATCAAACATTGATCAGAATGGGGACTGCAGTCAAGAGATCAGAAAAAGACACATAAGCTTATTGCACGGCACTTAAGGAATAAGAACGGAAAGGAACGGAACGGAACAGAACGGGGCAAAAACACATTTTACTGGACAGGAGAACGCCACCGATGCCACTGGGAGTCCCCAGGGCGTCCCCCAGCTGTTCCTGGCAGCCGTTTTTTGAAGGAAGGTTCAAAATTGTCCTTCAAAAATTGGCTGCCAAGAACAGCTGGGGAACGCCTTGGGGACCCCCGGCGGCATCGGTGGCATTCTCCTGTCCAGTAAAATGCATTTTTGCCCCGTTCCGTTCCATTCCCGTTTTTGTAAGTGCCGTGCGATAAGCTTATAAGAATGGGGAAGGCAGCCATAAAAGAATTAGAAAAGATTCCAAAATGCAAAGATAAGCAATTGAACACTAAAGTTCGAAAGCAAAGCAAAAAGCAAAGCAGCTTCATTTATATACCGCTTCATATCGCGCATGGGATGTCTAAGCGGTTTACAGCTGTAAGCTCATTGCCCCCCAACAGCTGGGTACTCATTTTAGCAACCTCTGAAGGATGCAGGCCTGAGTTGAGCCTCAGCCCTGGCTGGTACTGAACTCGCAACCTTGTGGTCTATGAGTGAGTGGCTGCAGTACAGGCATTTAACCACTGCGTCACCAGGGTTATCATCAAAGCCATTGTATTCCCCCATCACCATGTATGATGTAAGAGCTGGGCAGTTAAGAAAGCAAACAGAAAGAAAATCAACTCATTTGAGAAGTGGTCCTGGAGAAGAGTGGGGAGGATCCCATGGACAGCCAAAAGGACAAACAAGTGGGTCTTAGAGCAGATCAAGCCAGAAATCTCCCTAGAAGCCAAGATGACCAAACTCAGACTGGCATACTTTGGACACATCATGAGAAGAGAAGACTCATTAGAAAAAATAATAATGCTGGGGAAGATGGAGGGAAGTAGGAAGAGAGGAAGGCTGCATGCTAGATGGATGGACTCTATTAAGGAGGTCACAGGTATGAACTTGAAGGAACTAAGCAGAGCAATGGAGGACAAGGAGTCTTGGAGATGTCTCATCCACAGGGACACCATGAGTTGAGACCAACTTGAGGGTGGTGAACAACAACAAATCATCATACTTTCCCAACAATTCTCTCCCTCCATCTGAACTACAGCAGAGACAACATCTCTACAAAATGTAGGTCTGGGACTCCACTATCATTTCTCTTCCTCCTCTATGATTGTTCAAAATCTGATGAAGAAGCCTCTGAAGGTTTGCATTATGTGTTTTATGTATTTTGGCTGGCCAATAAAGGTATTGCTCCTTTGTGGATTTTGGATTTTATTTTATTTTGCTGTGTTCAAATAATTCTCTTCCAGATTTAAATCAGCTATGGCGTAGGGGTTAAAAATGGTGGTCCCATTTTGACCTGAGCCACTGTACATATTAGACCCTGAAATATCTAAGTGGGAAGGACCTACTCACTGCCAATACCCACCTTGAATTATTTATTATTATTATTATTATTATTATTATTATTATTATTATTATTATTATTCTAATGTAGTTCTCTGAGCAGGACCAGGCAGGACCAGCCCTATCTTTAGGTAAAGTGTGAGGCAACTGCATCAGATGGCAGACGCTGGACAGGAACAATAAGAATCTCTCCTCTCAGTTGGTCCTCCTGAACAGAGCTTGGAAAGGTTTATCGTTTTGGACTAGAATGCCCAGAATCCCCATCAGTTCTCTGGCTGGGGCAAGAAGGGTCTGAAAATTGGATTCCAAATAAAGTACAGTGGGCTCTTGGTATCCACTAATGTTTGGTTCCAGGACTCCCCACAGATACCAAAATCTATGGCTGTTCAAATCCCATTAAATATAATGGCATAGTAAAATGGTATCCCTTATATAAAATGGCAAAATCAAGGTGTGCATTTGGGAATTTATATATTTTGTGAATATTTTCAAGCTGTACAATGGCTAGTGATATCCACAGGGATTGTCCCTAGGTCTCAGGTTTTGGCTTGGATTATCTCAGGGCTTTGGTTAGTCCTAAACTGGCCACCCTAACTGAAACTGTGAAAGCTCATGCTTAAAAAAAAAATCCATCTTAAAGGTGTTATGTTCCTCATTCTCTTCCTTTTCTACTTCTTTGCAAGTTGATTCTATTCCTCCCCCCCCACACACACACATTCGAAGCAAAAAAATGACTGCAAAAGGTTTCTTGCATTTATTTCCCCTTCTCATAAGATCAACCCATTCTCAATCCTGGAGAATATATTGTATAACAACCATTTAGATCAAAAATAATGTGCTTTCTTTCTCTCCGCAGGAGGGACTTGGGTGGGTAGCTTGCAAGTCTTTGAGCTATTAAAGGCTTTAGAGAAAGAGAAACCATTGCTAATATGGCTTATTTTTAAATTGCTAAATGCACTTACAGAATTACCTTCTGAAATGATTCATTCTGTAATTTAGGCAGCACTAGGTGGCATGGCAGAGGTTTGAGCACTGCCCAAGCTAATAATAATAATAATAATAATAATAATAATAATATCATCATCATCATCATCATCATCATCATTTGACATTCTCAGGGTGATCAACCTTTCAATTCCTCCTAATTGTTTAGTTTTACAGGGCAGAATGCCACCCATCTCTTATCACCTGTATGTCAAAATACTCCAGTTCCAGCCATTTAAAGCATTTTACTCTACTGTTTGGCCTTAAGCTCTTCAATGTTTTTAATGGCACAGCTTTAGGCTGCCTTTTTATATGGAAGAAGAGGGCCTAAATCCAATGGCTGCCTAGGGGAGTGTGGAGGATTTTTCACTGGCACACCATGATAATCTCATATTTCC